CTTGGTTGGAAGCAAGAAAACCGAAAGCTTCAACAAAATATGAGAGAAAAATAATTTAAAACCCAAAGGTTGTGTATTTAAACCAAGCCTTAACTACTATTTATAGAGAGTTTTGGAGTTTACAAGAGGAAGCTAGCTAATAAAACAAAAGGAAGTTTTCAAGCAGACTTTGACTAGGCCCAAGGCCTTAGAATCAATAGCTCCAAAAGAGCAGCCCAAGAAAATTCGGTCCAGGAAAACAGTGCAGCCCATTGCTTGGTGCTATAAGACTTCTGTCAACATGCTCCTACAGGACTGCTGAAGGATTTGGCCAAAAATAATCAAAATTTTGCATAAACAGAGAATTAACATTAGATATGATATAATACTATTACTATATATATAGAAACATAAAGTTGACATAAAAAGACTCAATTAAGACAAATAAAATAAATGAAAATGGTTAAGAAAATGATGTAATAAGGTTAATAAATTAACACTTATCAATACCACTCGGCGAGATCTCTTAACTCCACTCTGTTAGGTAGGGATCTGCCATGTATTTTGTATTCCCTTAGATGTGACATATCGAGCCGATATCCCACACCACGGTTAACGCACCATGTTAACCCAAACCCCAAACCATATACATGCGATTTATGTATAATAAATATAATATAATTTAGCACACATGCACCATAATTAACCATATGTATGTAATTCACTACTTACAAATAACGTGTAATTAACACTTTAACAAACATATATATATATATATATATATATAGGCCTAATCAAATGAGAACTAATTAGTTTGTGGTAACCGTGATGTCCAATCTCAACCACAAATCAATAGATAAATTAGTAACTTTATAATTTTGGTAATTTTTAATTAAAATTTTAATGCGAGGACATTTTAGGTATTTTCTTTCCTCTTTCCTCTCTTCTCTCTCCGTCTCCCGGCTTCCGTCCCCCGGCCTCCGGCCACTGTCCTCCGGTGATACCACAGTGGTATCACAATGCATCTTATATATGATTAGGTATCACACTGAGGTCGTTTGTGTGGTCGATCGGATATGTAACACAGTGGTATCACAATGCATCTTATATATGATTAGGTATCACACTGAGGTCGTTTGTGTGGTCGATCGGATATGTAACACAGTGGTATCACAATGCATCTTATATGTGCTTGAGTATCACACTGTGGTATCACCGTAGGAAGGTGGCCGGAGGCCGGAAGACAGGGACGGAGAGAGAAGAGAAGAGAAGAGAGGAGAGAAAATACCTAAAATGTCATTGCATTAAAATTTTGATTAAAAATTACCAAAATTATAAATTTCCTAATTTATCTATTGATTTGTGGTTGAGATTGGATCTCACGGTTACCACAAACTACTCAGTTCTTCCTTGAATGTGCCCCTATATGTATATAATACTACACCTCATACATGTAAAAATAGTTTGTATGTATGTATATATCTCAGTGAAATATCGTGAAAAACTCACCTGATAGTGTAGTTTATTAAAACTTTGCTCCAAATGATAACCTTAACACGACGGATCACTATCGAAAACGAGCCAAGCTTCCCGTGCTTTGAGACTCCTCCTTGTGGCACCATTTCTCGGTTTTCCAATGCCAAAATCTTCTAGAATGCCGACAATCCCCAAGGTTCAACCAACCATATGTATGTATAGTTGGCTTTCCCCAAAAATTATGGAAGGAGAATCTCCATCAAGGCCATTAACCTTTTAGTTGGCAAAACAGGCCCCTCACTACTACCTTTTTCACAATTCGGCCCAAAATTTGAATCATTTCCATATTTCACTTTAACAAATATTTTTTTTTTAAAAAGTAATCATTCTCTCCATTAATACCCATTAAAAACAAAAGATTCACCATATATATTAATATTTCTATTTAATATCCACCAAAATAAAAATCTTTCATATATTTTAATATCTCCATAAAAACAATACCCTAAAAATTATTCTATTAGTATTCAAATTTTAATAAAAATTCGAGTGTCACACTCATTAATGGTTCGGACAATTCATTTTTCAATTAAAAACTATACCATTTATATTCCCAAAATATCCCATAGCTCAACAATATCGTTTTCCAAATCGGAATACACTAAAAATGCCTTGTCATCAAATAATATCTATTTATGAGATGATTCATCACAAGAACCCACACTTGTGATTTATTCAACAAAATACTCAAAGATCCCAAATATATGCATTTTCAAGATATATTAACCCAAATGTACCAAGTGTGTAGATTTCATCAAATACTCAACAATTTGATAAATTGTAAGATAAATATTTCAATACATCAAAATAGATATTTTTGGCATGTACATATCTTTCACAAAACAACTTGAACTCACTTTCTTAAGTTAGGTTAAATTTAGATTCCAAAATCCATCTCTAGCTTCCAAAATGGTGAAAGCTTTAGATCCATCAACACCCACCTCTTGAAACTTTATATGGGTTACAATCAAAGCCTAGAGATGTACCAAATGTAACCCCAAACTTAGATTCATAACAAACTTCAGTCAAATCCTCTAATCACCCATATACTCAAAATTGGTCAAAACTTCAAAACATAGAAGATGCCTCAAAATAGATGTTCTAAGAGGTTAAAATGAAAGGTTTTTAACAAGAATAAATGTTGAGAAGGTTAAGATTGACTTACAGATCATTTTTAAGAAAAACCCAAAACTAGGTCAAAAATGGTGGAAATGGTTAGAGAAGATGAACTTGGATCATCATGATGCAAGACTTGAGATCTTCAATCGTGGGAGCTTGTAAATGTTTTTAAATACTTTCCAACAAAATCAAAGAAGAAGCTAGGAAGTGGAAATGGTGAGAAAGATGAAGATCATGAGCTTCATTCTACAAAACCTGAATCCCTGACTCTTGATCTCACAAACTCTCATGGAGAAATCGATTGGGTCTAGTAAAGGTGTTTGATTAAGAGATAAATGAGAAATGAGATGGAAATGAGAGATTCTACAAAAGTTCTCTAACATATTCTATAATTTTTTTTCAACATGGAGAACCAAAAGTCAAAAATCTCCAAAACATTACATTCATCTCCAATAATTCCTCAATACAATATTGATTATAATATTAAAATATTCAATTCTTCGATCAAAATATTATTTCTTTTAATAAATATTTATTTTCAAAGATCTTTATTAGTGCTTTCACTTGATAATATCAATTTTGAGGGCCCGGTTCTCCTTTCTAAAATGGGATGGCTTCAACGCTTGACTCCGAACAATAAGCTGATGTAGTGACCAAGATCTGTTAGCTACAATTGACAGACAGCTAGTTAGTCCTCTTCGCCCTAATGAATAAGGTGGAGAGGCTAGGTATTGCTGGAAACCAATAAGTTGCTAATTCTACTTTATAATAAAGTCGTCAGATCTGGACTATTCGAGGGAGTTGTGCAAGAGGGAGCTATTGCCCCATATTTAAATATTACTATAAGGGTACCCGCGCAATGCAGCGAGATAAATCTTCATTTTAATGTTTAGTTTTTATATTTGTCCGTATCGATATAATACGATTTTATGTGTTTTTGAGAAAACGATAATGCTTTTATTTTTGAATGAAATATAAATTTGAAGATAGCATAATTTTTTAAAATAAAATAAAATCGATATTAGTATTAAACTAACTATTTAATAGTTTTTTTTGGATGTAACTTCTTTAAATCAATTTTTTTAATAATTTAATTTAGGTCTAATAACAAAGTAATTTTTTTTTGTTTAATAATATAATTTTTATTAAAAATAATAATTAAACATTCGGTTAGAAACTCAATGATTATCTTAATCATATTTTGGATTTTCTATATTTAAAATAGATGTTTATTCTGTATTTGATTATGTTTATCTGCAGTTAGTTATACGAATTTAAAAATGAAGCTTTAATAAGTTGTACTTACGCAAAATCACTTGTAATCTTGAATTTCGGGGGTGTTTGGGTTGCTTATAAAGTTGTTTTTTTTTTAACTTATTTCAGTCTGGCACCGGTGATAAGCTGTTTTCTGGTGTTTGGATAAGTAAGAAAAAAACTGCTTATACCGGTGCTAAACCGGTAATAAACTGTTTTTGATAAGTTAATCCTTCATGACTTATGAAAAACTGCTTATTACCACTTTACAATTTTAACCCTGTTTTATTTAACTCCGGTTTGATACACATAAGTTAATAAGCACTTTTACAAAAAAAACATAAGTTGTTTTAAATAAGCAATCCCAAATACCCATTCAAGTAATATGCATCAATAAACAATACTTCATCATAAAAAAAATGAGTTTTAAGAGTTTTTGTCAAATGCTTTATAATATAGTATAGATATAGATTATGTGTTTGTTAAGAAAACAATAATGATTTTATTTTGAATAAAATATAAATTTGAAGATATCATAAAAATTTAAAAAAAATATCAATGTTAATATCAAATCAACTATTTAAAAGTTCTCATTTTTTATGTAATTTCTTTAATTTTTTTTATTATAATTTAATTTAAGTTTAATAATGAAATAATTTATTTTTAGTTTAGTGTTATAAATTTTATAAAGATAATAATTAAGTATTCAGTTATAATTCAATGATTATTCTAATTATATTTTAGATTTTTTATATTTAAAATAAGATRTTTATTCTGTATTTGATTATGTTTATCTGCAGTTTGTTATATAAATTCAGATATGAAGCTTTAATAAGTTGTACTTATACACAATCTACTTGTAATCTTGAGTTTTAAGTAATATGTATTAATAAACARTACTTTACGTATAAAAAATGGTTTTTAAGAATTTTTGTTAAATATTTTATAATTTAGTATAGATATAAATACTAATTTCTCAATCTTAAAAATAATTTAAAAAGATTATTAAAACAAACCAAAAACAATAACATAGTTGGAATAAACAACCCTCTTTTTATGCGGTATGGTTGATCTGTCAGCACTCCCTCAGCAGCAGCAGTAACCCCCCAAAACCTCATATCTTACTTCGAATCTTAACTACTGCTAACATTAATCCAAGTAATACAGTAACGCATCTAAGAACCTCTGCGATTTGCTTCACCATCATCGATCTGATCTGATCTGATCTCATACATTTCAAATCAAGAAAAATGGCGATGGCGAGGGTAAGCTCTGGCCTCGCATACCCTGACAGATTTTACGCAGCTTCCGCTTACGCCGGCTTCGGTGGATCTCCCAATTCGTCTTCAAAAGGCGTCACCTCCAAATTTTCAAACGATGTTGCTCTTCTGCTCTACGCCTTGTACCAACAGGTGTTCTTTTTTACCCATCCTCATTCCTTTTATTCCACAATTCATCACTGCTGACTTTTTTGTAAATTCCTTCCTGTCGATTCAGTAGCAAGTGTACTAGTGTCAAATTACTTGTCTTGAACTTCATTAGATCTGGGTGTTGAGACTGTGGTTAGTGGGAAATAAATGCTTGTAATATGTTTGATAGAATTGATAACTTCATTGCTTTTGGATAAACGATTGCTGATTTGGTTTTGCTTTATGGACTGCATTGTTCCTCTTCGGCAAATCTGAAATGATAGTAATCGTAATGAACAGGGCCGTTTCCAATCTCTTTGAATGCCCTTTTTACACTTGTAACAAGATAAAATATAAAAGTTCACACCATATGTTATATTAAAAGTCTTACAAGTTAAAATAAAAAACCTGTATGAAATAACTTTTAGATGCACATATTCCTCTGGGAGGGTGATTTGGACGCGGGCATAAGGGACTTTATACACAATTAATAATTCGATTCTTTTTTCAATTAGGCCTTGCACCTAGGCGTGATGATTTACTTCAAGGGTGAGTCTTTGGTTCAAGTCCAGGATGGCCAACGTCAGGGAAAAGAATAGAAGAAACTAATAACAGAATTCACTTAAAATATAATAATTTTTCTAACATTGTTCGAAACAAAATCTTCAATCAGTTCTTCATAATCAACTTTCTCTAATAAGTCGTTAATCTGAGATTAGCATATAAGAGTTTACCAACTGACAACTCTGTTATTTACCTCAAGTTCTCAAAAAACACTAACTCGATTCTAGGGCCAAATTCTATATAAACTCTTAACTTTGATGTTTTCTATCACATGGCTATAGTGCTTTAAACCATGATGATCGGTATCATGGTGAAATTAGTCGGTGAAGTTGAAGGTCTCACCGAACAAGAAAGTGAGAAATAAAGAAAAATAAAGTGAAAGATTATTTAACAAGGCGGTCTTTGGTGCTTCAATTATAATATTAGCCATAAGGAAAACAAAGATGAACACCAAGAGAGTTCAATCTTTAAATCACAGACCTATGAAGAAGGAACTGTAGATTTGCAGTCAATCAGGAATTGGACGAATAAAAAAATCTGGTAGAAGAGGGAAAAGATTGGGGCACTTGAGCTAGATCGCTAAAACCTTATAATTGTCAAATGGGCTATTATATATGGGTATGGGAGAAGCCTGAATGGATTGAGCTAGAACATGGGCTAAAAAGTCAAAATATACATAATTAGGTAAATTTAAAATATATAAAATTGGTCCCCAGAATGCTTGGGGGCCCCAAAAAATTTGGGGGCCTTGTTCGAGATCTCACATTGGTACAGCCTCCGGCTTGGCCCTGGTAAGGGAGATACTGGTTCTAATGCAATACATCCATATATGATCTATCCATCCATGCCTTTGTCTCTCTATGTAAATTTAACCCCATCCTTGTTTTATTTGCCTTGCTTTTTTATGAAATTCAATGTAGCTTGCCCTTCTTTTCTCAAAATGTTCAAAATTTTGTATCAGTTAAGGAGGTAGACGCTAATCTATCTAAATGCAACATTATTATGGAAAATTATGGCATACAATATATTGATTGCAGGCCAATGTGGTGATAAAGTGTATATTTTTTAGTGTTTTGATCATTATGGCCCATCTATAATGATTGTATCACTCTGATTAACTATTTCTAACAATCTTAAAAAGACAATCTTTTCAAAATAATTATCTTTTGATCATTATTTATTTTTCAAACTTAAAGATTTAAAAGATAATCGGTGATTGTCATCATGCAAAACAATTATCTTTCTTTATCTTTTGGCTTAGACAGGGCAAAATTTTCATTAAAAGAGGACAAGTATACAAGGTGGTGTACAAAGATATGTACTGCAATGAAAAATAACAAGAAAAATAAAAAAGGCAAACTGGAAAAGGAGGGAAGAAATGCCTTCATCGTCCCTCTACTCTAGCTTGGCTCAGAAAAAGAAAAAATGAGAAAAAAAGAAAAAAGAAATACAAGATAAACTGATAAAACTAAAAGTCACCAAAGAACGAAAGGTCAAAAAGAAAAAAACTACAAGAAGCTAAAAACCATCGTAAATCTAGCTTTAGGAGGATGGCATAGCTGTATCTGAGGCGAAGCACAAAGAAAGATGGTCCGACAGAGGCTCCAGAAAACCGAGGACAGCTGGCTAGGGGAAGAGGGCTAGTTTATATCTAGGTTGAGAAGTTGAGAGATGGTCAGGTGTTAGAGGTGCCTAGGTAGAAGAAATGGGCGTGCGTATGAGGGATGGTGCTGCCATCTGAGGGGCCGTGGCAGAGGAAAAAGGAGGTCAGTAGAAGCTGGCAGAGGGAAGCCAGATGACGAAGGATGGCAGATCAGACCACTGGAGGTGATACAAAAGGAAAAGGAAGCAGTACAGTAGGTTAAGGGGGGGGGGGGACAATGCAGTTGAAGGTGTTGATGACAAGGAAGAAGAAAGGAAGGGAGAATGGCAAGAGGACTCCCTGGACTGCCTGTTTTGAAAGTTGGCAGTTGGAGATGGTTTAAAACAAGGGTGCGATACTCAATAGGGTAAAAGAAAGGCTAGAGAGAAAAAAAGTAGAGAGTGGGCATGCTTCCATTTCCTTGTATTTTATTCTTTGCTAATATTATAAAAGATAAAAATAAAATTATTTTCTAACAACAATTTTCATCAACTTTACGATATTACAAAAATATTAATTATGTTACCATATCAAAATTCAAAAATACATAACTAAATAGTAAACCAAGCATTGGGTGTCATAATACGAGGGTTTTAGTGAGAGAAAGAGAGAGGGGATCTCTTTGTGGGGTGCTTTACTATTGGTTTTTTGGGTTATATTTAGTTCTGATACGAGTATTTTTTTGTGGGTTTCTGTAGTCAGCAACATCTGCAATTTCGAAAAAAAGATATTACCTATGTGTTAGATATCAAACTGAAGCATGACGTGAGCCTAGGCATCAGAAGTTGTTTTTGGTGGAAAATAACTAAATCATATCATACTTAGTTAAAGTGCCAAACCATTACAATATCATCTTATGTGGTTTATCGATCCCAAAAATGAACATCAAACGTTTCAAGAAAAGTTAGAGTGTTTGAAACAATTAATTGCCCGTCTCATAATTTATTTTATTTGTAAGTGGTTGTGTTTATGCCTTTTTATTTGTACTCCAATCCAACATTTACAATATCAACTTCGAACTTTTTAAGAAAACTTGAGAGACAAATATTTGCTTTTCATATCGGAAGTGTAGAAAGGATCTGGCTAAAATGTTGTCAGTTTTGATGTTGCTATGCAAGGTGAATTTGTGTAACCTAAATTTATATCATTACTATTTCTGTTAAAGATTTATTAGTGATTATTGTAGTTCTGACTTGTGCCAATCTTCTGTGCAATTTTAATGTCACTTTTAGCTAGTTGAAACTTGTTTAACTATAAATGTAGATTGTACTGTCACTAAAGTTTGCACAAATTTAAAATAATTTCTGATGGTGTTATTTTGTTGTTGATTTTGGTTGAAAACAGGCAAGTGTTGGGCCTTGTAATATTCCGAAACCAAGAGGTTGGAGTCCGGTGGAACAAAGCAAATGGACTAGGTCCGGCTTTTAAGCTACTTAATTCATATCTGATTTGATTTTTTCTTGTAACAATGAAAGTAGCATGAGTGTGTCAATCTGCTTCTAATGCAGTTGCATACCATCCAAACATGAATTGATAGACGCTTGATGCTTCTGGGTAAAGCCCTGGATTGTCATATGATTCTGTTATCCGAAATTTTTATGTATGATAACAATTGGAGGGCTTATTAGGGATTTCCTTGTTTAGTGATGCTTAGCCTGTCCGTGCTCTTATTATTTTGTCATCTTATGCACCTGGGAATCAAGGTTCTTCTTGTTATGTCTATTCTTCTGTTCTTAGAACAAAAATATCATTTTTGAACCTTCATTTTGTGGGTCGGAGTGCCTTAAAGTTTATTTCTAGCTCTCACCATATTTTCGTTTTTATAACAAAATAATTCTTTATTTCTGGTGTAATACGTATCACTTACACCTACAAGAAACGAAAAGATGCAAGTGTGTGATCATAATTGCAAAGCACCTTCCAAGCTACTTGGAATGAGAAATTTGGTTCACTCAATTAGATAGTCATGACTTCCTAAGTCTTTACCTGGTTTCTTTCTTGATAAAGCATTTATGTTGATATAAGAATATCATACTCGCCTTCCAGATTTTGTGTGCCCAAAATAAAGTAATACGCCCAAAGTGCCTGAGAATTAGAGTCAACTTTTGACTTTAGGCATTGAAGTACCACATTTCAACTTCATGTTGCTTTGGCTTGGTTAACTATTTGAGGAAAATGTGTACCTACATATACATTAATAAACCAAACGAAACCATACAAACCCAACATATCGCTGTCAAAAGGTCTGGGAAGGGTGGGATGTACAAAGTTTTGACCTCTACCCCCAAAGGCTAAAACGGCTGTTTTGGTGAAGCCCCATTAATGTATACAATATTCACTACCAATAGAAAAAATTTGGTGTAATGTAAAGGATTTTATACACCATCTAAAGTTGGAAAGTACTAGGTTTTCTATAGTAAATGTCTAAAGTGGAGTCTCATTATGGAAGGGAGGGAGTAGAAAATAGCACCAACTGTACTCCAGCTAGTTCACATTCATACTCTTCAAATAGTGAGCCAAGTATCAATTACTAGTAGTTATACAAGAAGCTTTTGACCCTAAAGTTAGAGGTAGAAAAGTGAAAGATATTTTATGATTTCAGAAAACATGAACAGCTTGAAAATGATAGGAGGATAGCTAATTTATAAGAAGCGAGCTCAGACAGAACATGTTAGAAGCCAAATAAATGAATAATTTTGTTATAAATGAAAATTTATTTAAGTTATCTGTGATTTGCAAGCTATGCTATTTTTTCTGAAATTTTTTATGTTGTGTTGAGACAGATGAAGCAAGACCTTATAATAATAGACTTGGGTCAGAGAAACCATATCTGCTCTGCAGACTGCAGTTGAGGGGAACTGATTGGATGTAGAAACTGAACTACTACATAATCTTGTGAACTTAACAATGCTCACCTAAACTTTGTGAATTGAGTGCTGAATCAGAACCAAACATTAGGAATTGAGTTCTCTTACTCTTCCATTGCTCTTCGTGATCAAGTTCACTGATACGAACTTTAGGGTTAAATCTCTGGTGCTTGTTGTTCCGTTTTAGTTCCTGTTTGCTAGACATGATGTATCAGTTATTTCTATTCTTTCCTTAAATCAAGTCCATTTCTTGTACCTAGTCAAAAGCTTTCCACTTACAGCAGTGACTGACTGAAACCAACGATATGATCCTTGGGCCACCTAGGAGGAAGTATCATAATTTTACCTTTTGCCGATTCTTTTGCATGTTGGTTCGAGAATGCTCAAGTATCCTCCTAAATAGTTAGTAGAGAACTTTATATGTACTAATTAGTTAACTTGGGTTATAAAGTTTTTCTCTTATTGCAGTTGGAATGGTCTGGGAAACATGGCTTCCACTGAAGCAATGCGCCTTTTTGTTAAAATTTTGGAGGTATGTGTCTGTAATAACAATATAGTTGGTACTCCAGAATTTTGATCAATATGCCTTACACAATTATATTTATTCTCGAGTAGGAAGAAGATCCAGGATGGTATTCAAGGGCATCCAACTTTATTTCTGAGCCTGTTGTGGATGTGGAAATGAATGTGAGCACAAAAAGCTTTTGTTTTCTTGACCCTCGTTTATCGTTAGTATATTTTTTTTCCTTGGTAGAAGATATATCCACTGGTTGTATGTTTTCCTTATCTTCATATTTGTCTGCGAGTTGGCCTGACTCTTATTTCTATACGTGGGTGAAATGATATTCTCAGAACTCAGGAGCAGATTCTTGGCATACTAGTGAAATAGTCCACAGTGTACGTTGAAATGATCCCTTTTGACTTAGTTCAGGGATATGATGCCTTCAAAATTATGTTGTGCATTTCCCTGGGAACAGTCTATCTTACAATGGCAATTCATGGTCTTGAGAGGGGACATTATCTGTTGATGAATATGTGGGGCTGGTGTGTAGTTGAAACCAGACAATATCAAATTTCTTGTTACAATTAATGACTGAAACGAAAACCACAGAAGCAATCAAAGACCCTAATGCGATTTCTGGAGTAAACAGGATATTTCACACAAAAGGAAATGCTATGTTGAGTGCATCTATGGATAAGCAAATACATATGCACCATCAAGAGGTAAATAGAAATATAGAATAGCTTCTGCTTGGCTTGTTATTGGGTCTCTTCAGTGGAAGTTCCAGATACTCATATGCCTAGCCTTAAGAGAACTGAGTTTGAGCTCCTTTGCTCAATCTTCATTTGGAATATATTTACTTTGTAGTTTTCTGTACAAATTTCTGACTGTTCACATGATTCAAGGTTAAGTGCTGATGTTTCTATCAATTAATCGTGTTCTTATCTATATGAGATGACATGTGGCAAGCTTTGTTCTTCTTTCCTCTCCCCATCCTCCTCGGTGGAGTTCCTACTTTTTTGTTGAGAAAAGTGTTCCAATCTATCCTGCTGAATCAGTACTGTGCTTTTAGTCTTCAGTTGTTCCTTCTTTAAATATGTTTGCCAATATAAGCTCTTCTAGGCTGTCATCTAATTTTTTTTGAGCTAGTAGTTGGAATAATACACGTTCTGTTTACTTTTTTTCTAATTGCTTACCACTTTACATAATTCTTCATGGATTCATATGAATTTTAATGACGGAATACAAACTTATTCTGGCATTTCTGGTATGCTTTTAGGATACCAACTCATCCACTCTAGTTACCATCACTACCTCTTGGTTGAAGTATGTGTGTGTTTTAAAGTTATAATTTTGACCTTCAGTTTTGTTCAGACATCACCTACCTCCTCCAAGCCATTTGATCAGAAGTTGGTATAATGGGACTAGTGTCCTTTAGCCAAAGTCATGTCTCATGTCTTGGAATCAAGTATACTAGTGATCATATACGTGAGTCACAACAAAGCTTCCAATGCAACTAAATAGCCAATCTAGTCCCGGTATCAGCTAGAGCTCACAAAACATAGATTTGAACAAATAAGCAGAATATGAATGTATTCTAAGCAAGCTTATAGTCTACAAGCAATAATATATGGCAAATCAACAAACACATAACCTTACAGTGAAGAGAGAGAGACAAGGGAACACTGTCATTTATGTGGAAAACCCAAAATCTGAAAAACCAGACGGAGGTGCCAAGAGAACCCACCAAATAATGATGTTGGTACAAGTTTGATGTGATCAATCAATGCTCTTACATGAGGAGAAGAGTACTGATAGGTATGGGAGTAAATGTTGTATAGTATAATCCATTACAAGGCCTATGAAAACAGTAAATCCCATCACTGCTTATATGCAACATCATGAGCGACTTGGAAGTTGCACACGATGTCGCCCGGTTCCTCGCTGTTGATACAGCACGGTTGTGCAGGAAACCTCCTTCAAAACACGGTTGTGCAGAATCATCCACAAACTTTGGCACGGCCATGCAGCCTCTTAGGCATGTTTTGGCATGGTCGTGCAAGGGCAAGTGGTGAATGTTGAGGCATTTTCAGCATCTCTGTACTGTTATCATTTGTTTTCTTTCCTGGTTACTTTTTGCATGTTTAGAGCCAATAAAGTTACAACGCCAGATGATATTCTTAGCCAATGAGAAGCTGTCGTTTCTTTTACTTAGGAAGCATAAATCATTAGTGAGGTATCCAGCAACTGTTTCCAGACCTTTTGAGCCATTTATCTTCATTCCTTTCCTCCCATGACCTGGAATATGTGTCATCAATATGTGCTCTTCGTAATAGAATTAGTTCTGCACCTACATTTAATTTTTTGTGTTCTGTACACGGTAGCTCCTTTCCAAAATTACTTGCAATCCATCCCTCAGATCAGTGGAAGTAAGAGAGGAGTAGAGTTTAGTTGAAACACTTAAGCCCTACAGCTTCTATAGACTACAAAGTATTACTGTACCTTGGTTGTATGTGTCCTATCCTGAATGTGACTCTTAACCTTTAGATTCACTAAACCAAATTTCTTGCATTTTATGTGTCTACAGCATACTTCAAAGGCAGAGCTACTCAATAAGAATGAAGTCGCTCTGCCTGAGACACAAACTATTCCCACTGAAAATGGGACCTCTGTGGAAACTCAGGACAAAGCTATAGTGGTGGAAGGACTTGGAATTGTTGATGTCTTTGACCAATGGGTTGCCCCTTCTGTCTCTGGTCCCTGTCCAAAGCCCCGATATGAGGTATTAATATATTCTGACTTATTTCTGAAGTTATTTTCTTCTTTACCCTTTTTCTGAGAGTAGTTTTGAAATGGGCAGCATGCAGCAGCCATCGTTGACAATAGGATGTACATATTTGGTGGAAATCATAATGGACGTTACCTAAGTGATCTCCAGGTATGGGACTGCATGCATTGTGCAGGCAAAACAGTCACCCACATTGTAAAATCGTGTTCCTTTTATGTTTTTTTTTCTTCATATTTCTATATGTTCAAAGATAAATTATTCAAATGCATGTATGCATGTGTTTGAATAGATAAGGAGATGATTGGCTAAAATTCATCACACTTCTATCTGCAAATACAAGGCACTCAAGTGGTAGTCGTGGTTAGATATATGTACAAGCAAATTTCATACTATTTGTATTTGACTACATGAATGCTTTCAAGTCATACTATAATGCTGTATGCATGTATAAACAGTTTCAGGGTATATCTTAATATCTTCGTACATAGAAAACTTGACATGTAAACTTTATAGTATTTTGATTTGCATTAGCCCGTCTAAAGATGGTGCTACATGGAAGGGCTGATACATCCCACATGTTTGAGACTGTTGTAAAATTGATCCGACAGTACGTAGTATAATTTTATAAGCAGGCTGAGATCCCCTACTCATCAAATGATATCATATGATTGTGTTCCCTGAACTCCCACATAGATACCTAGTTAGGTTTGTTTACATTTCAATGTTAGGGTCTCCCATATATATATATATATATATATATCTATATATATATATATATATATATATATATATACACACACAGAGTTTCAGACTGAGAGCATTTCCATATTCTGTCAGTTGAGAATCTATCATGTACTTCCGTATTAAAGCACCTGTCACAAATTATTGACATACCTCTTTTTTGCTTTTGATATGCATAATTAGATTTACTAATGTTTACAAATAATTTTGTGTTGAGCTCTCACAGAGTGGGTTTGTTGCAGGCACTTGATTTGCAAAGGTGGGAATGGTCCAAGATTGAAGCAAAGACAAATTCTGAGGCTCCACTAAAAGTTGCTCCTTGTGCTGGGCATTCTTTGGTCAGTACTGTAATATTTTTCTTGCAAAGAGTTGATCGAGGAGAAGTCTGCAATCCTCATATGATCAATCCTGTTGGATGCAAATTTGGATTATTTTGTTCTCTAATACAACATGGTTGTGAAATTGTTTGGTCTGTAGATAGCATGGGAAGGGAATAAGCTTATAGCAATTGCAGGACATACAAAAGATCCCTCTGAACTCATCCAAGGTTTGTTTCAACTTCTTCAAGATGCCTTAAAGATAATGGAACCCCTCACGAAGTCAACTAGCTGGATATTAGCTTGTTATCATTGGTGAAGTAAAAGATGGAGAACGCCCACAAACAATCATTCCAGGAAACATAAAAATTGCTAAAGAACTGCAAAAAGAAACAAGCAATAAACTTCCCCTTTCCCACTCTGAATTATAATGACACAGTTGGTCTTTGCCAATTGAAACATCTAAAATTTTATTATGGTGTTACAAGAATTCTACGTTGTTACTTGTATTCCACCCTACCTTTGCTCAGCTATGTGATTCATTACCAGAAATTTAATAATAGAAAATTGTTAAAATGGTTTACTGGCTTATATTGGTAACTCAAGAATGTACTATTCACATTTACAAACAAATGAAATTTGTAATTTGTACTTCTTTGTAAGCAGTAAATATTATCAAACCTTCAGATCTCAGAGCTCTATCACCCTTTTTTCTTTTAATGAAAATATAGTTTTCAGCTTCGAAATGTGTTGATGTAAATATACAACTGTTACTTTTCTCTTTGACAGTAAAGGCATTTGATCTGCAAACATATACCTGGTCGACCATGAAGACCTATGGAAAGCCACCGGTATACACCGTTATCCTCAACTTTTTAGTTTTGGTGTTATTTACTTTCTCATTTGTAACTCCTGCAAAAGAATCTAAATTTGGCTGCCAAATATGTATTTAAATAACATGAACAAGTTATTAAGTTATCTTTCCTTAATAACATGTTCATTTCACCATGTTTATGCAGGTCTCACGTGGAGGTCAATCAGTGACAGTTGTGGGGACCAGCCTAGTCATATTTGGTGGACAAGATGCAAGTAGAACTCTCTTGAATGACCTGCACATTTTAGACTTAGAGACTATGACTTGGGATGAAATTGATACACTGTAAGATCTTCTTCGACTCGTTTATGCCTGTATTTTATTATTCTTTTGCAATTCAAATGATTTGATTTTAGGAGTTATTGTTAAGTGACCACACCAATTGGCATCTGGCCACCATAATTTGTTGTGCAACCACTTCTTAAAGGGAGTTCAGCTTCTGCTAATTTCAATGCAGTTGGATAATAACAATTTATCTCTCAAATATGTGAATGTTTTTTACTATTAATGAACTCCGATCTCACTATGTTTTGTTTTTGCTTCTCCCCGTAGTAAATAGGCTCTCATTTGGAAGGTGATTTCATGCACCGATATCTTTTCTCTTGTTTTGTTGTCTGTTTATTCCTTGGGGATGAATTGATTTAAATAAGCCTATATGTTATACTTGTAACTTAATTCATTATTTTTCTCTTTCTGCAGAGGTGTGTCACCATCTCCAAGGTCTGACCATGCTGCTGCAGTACATGCAGATCGTTACCTTCTTATCTTTGGCGGGGGCACACATTCAACTTGTTTTAATGATCTTCATGTCCTTGATATGCAAACTGTGAGATAACACAATCATATATGGCATTAGTGCCCTTTGTGCAACTGGAATTTTCTTACATGGATAATCAAATTATGTAGATGGAATGGTCAAGACCAACTCAACAAGGAGAGATACCGAGTCCACGAGCTGGTCATGCTGGGGTAACAATTGGAGGAAATTGGTTCATTGCTGGTGGTGGTGATAACAAGAGTGGTATGTATCTGAGAACTTGACAATTAGATTTCAGTTTCAGATTAGTGGTACCTTGTGGAGTTCTTTTTGGCTTTGAGTTTGAATCATCAATTCCTTTTATTAGCTATCCTGGTTCATACCTCATTACTGTTACCAATTTTGGTGTTAATTACTTATTTTGTTTTCCACAGGTGTTTCAGAAACTGTTGTCCTCAACATGTCTACACTTGCTTGGTCAGTCGTAACAACTGTTCAAGGACGTGTTCCTCTTGCCAGCGAGGTACTTTGGTATAAGATAATGTACTCTTCCTTACGCTTCCATAAGATGTAAAACGTGCAATTTCAGGGCAAAACCGCAACATTATACATTAGTTGTTTGGATTGAGCTTCAATTAATATTTCCATGGAGTTCCCTACTAATAGTAGACCATCAGATAGGATTTGTCATATTCTTACCAAAAGCTAAATGCAGTTGATATAGGTTCAATTATTAATGGCTAAATCTTGTAAGGATTCTCTTTCTTGATTATAGTAACATATATTCATGGTGAGCTTGGTTGCAGTTGGAAGAAGATGACATGAAAGCCCCCTTGCATTAACAACATAATGGCCAATACTTATCTAGCAACCCTTTTCCTGGATATATCCCTTAACTTCCTCCAATTCCTTATTTGCAGGGCTTGAGTTTGGTCTTGAGCTCCTACAATGGCGAAGACATTCTCGTATCTTTTGGAGGATACAATGGACGATACAGCAATGAGGTGGGAACCAAACCGTCCTTTCCTTGATCCATTTGTGTAGAGATATTCAAAATCTTTGAGAAAAAGGGGTTAATTATCATTAATTTATTTACAAGATTAGGATAATCTCTGCCTTATCTGCCTTGTATATAGCTTCTGTACATTTCTGATTTAATATGTTTCCTAGTAGTATTCCTTTCTTGATTTGTATAAATAGCTGTTGTACCTCTCTCTCTTTGGAATATGAAAATAAGGAATTCCAAAATATTCCTTTGTTAATATGGTTTTGCTCACTGCATTAGGTCCATCTACTTAAGCCCAGCCATAAATCAAGCTTGCCGTCGACAACCATGGGGACTCCAGCACTTGATAGCATCTCTGGTGCACAGCATGCTGCAAATGGCACTAGAGATGTAGAGTTAGATTATGGTGCAGGTCAAGATGGAAAAATAAGGGAAATCAGGATGGACAATAACGAGCCACAGGTAATGGTTGTGACACCAATTATTTACTGTTATATCTGTGTTGACTTGTGTATGTTTAGAAATCCTTTCTATTTTTTGCAAATTTTTATTTTCAAAAGAATACACACACATAGCCAACCAAAAAACGTAAGCATACTTGTAAGCATCATTTGTGATAAATATAGACAAGAAAATAAAAATTATTGAAATGGGCAAACACTTGAGTTACATAACAGCTCTATTAACCATCAGTCATCACAATGATAGTTGACTTCGGAATAATGTGTTGGTTTATTTTTAAAGTTAGTATGTTTGTTTATGCAGACAGTCAAAGTCGACGAGGTGAGTGAGCAGTCTATCATGGCTCTAAAGGCCGAAAGGGAAGAACTAGAATCATCTCTCAGCAAAGAGAAGTCTGAGTCGCTTCACCTAAAGCAAGAGCTGTTAGAAGCTGAATCGAGGAATGCGGACGTATATAAGGTAACCACTCGTACATTTTCAATATGCCATTCACTCATTCGTAGATATGGAAAGGTTTCAGCATACACTTCAACTACAGAATTAAGTATATTGAATTTAATGGATAATTTGTTATAGATTTGACTTCAAATGTGGACTCTAACTTAATTATTACCGGAAAAATGTAGAAAAGGATCATCAGGAAGTATATTTTACTTCAGAAAGCATTTTGTCCTAAACTAGTTGGGTTAGGCTGTATCTTGATTAGACTCGAATATTTTTATATTCCCAATAGAATCAACTTTGTGTAACATACATCATGCAGGAACTCCAATCCGTACGCGGTCAACTTGCTGAAGAGCAGTCTAGATGTTTTAAACTAGAGGTAACTAGTTTTTATTGTGTTAATGCTGCTGAATTCTTAAGTATAAAATGTGCTTTCTAAGGTCCTTAGTCTCCTATTAATTCCCATAAAGATTGCCACATTTGATCAAGTAGTTCTGCAAGTGTTTGAATGTTATTGAGATGCCTAAATTACTCTTCATTAGTGAAAAATAAGTATTATCAACTGCATGACAACATGCAAATGAGTAATTTTAGCTTGAAAATTTTCCAAAAAAGAAATTTTGATGTATATGTGATTTCCCAAATGGAAGTGATCTTAAATATCTTATGTTTTTCCAACAAAAAGAAAAGGAAAAGCATTTACACTTCATCATTGATGCTTGAATCAACAGGTAGATGTTGCAGAGCTACGACAAAAACTGCAAACGATGGATTCGTTGCAGAAAGAACTTGAAATTCTTCAAAGACAAAAGGCTGCTTCTGAAGAAGCTTATGCAAAACAGAAAGAGAGTTCAGGAGGTGTCTGGGGTTGGCTGGCTGGGAATTCCCCTCCTAAACCATAAGGCAGCCTGAAAAGCTTATAATACCTAAAATACGGTACAAAATCATGTTATATTTCATCTTCGTCACACAATTTCATTGACCCGAGGCTCGTTCTTTTTGTGATCAGAGAAACACAGGGTATTTCTTTGGTACATATTTCAGGTACCAATGTTTTTATGCTTTTTGCTATATGAGGACATTATTTTTGGTAATGGTCAAATCCAGAACAATAATCATTTTGTCAAGTCAACTATGGTCAAACCCTTTTCCTAGTATTGTGGGGGGATGGAAATTGTGAGCCATTGATTTCAGGTTCAAGTATAGGACTGGTACATTAGTGTTATTAATAGGTTCAGGTTGTATGTAATTCTTCTGTTTTCTGAGTTGAAACTCACATTGATGTTAAAAATTTTCTATTTAATATATATTCTCTATTAGATGAATTGAATAATCTACTAATTTTGTATTCTTTTGGCAAAACAAAAATGCATTGATATGAATCTCCAAAATGACTCGTACAATAGTAGCTTTAAGACGTTTGAGCCGGGTATATGATAAAGAACATATGATCTTACGTTGCAAATGAAATGATCGTACAGGGCACTGTTGATCGTACAGGGCACTGTTGATCTTGTATAACCTTGTTGTAAAACAAAAAGGAGATAATGCTAACTTAATCCCAAATTGGAGAGTTGAACCAAAGTCCAACGCAACAAAACATAGGGAATTCATCGACGGAGAGAGCCATGACATGGCGAATCTTATAAATGTAGAAAATGTTGCATGTGAGCGTGATTTCTGGTGATTGACAATCACCAACGGAAAAATCTGTCGGTAATTTGCCAGTAATGGTCAATCCACTGGTTATCCGTCAGAAATATCCAACGGAGCGGAAAAACCCACCGGTGAATTCTCTTTGTTTTGTAGTCCAAACAAGAGATAAGTTAGTGATCCCAACAAAACTCTAGCCAGAACACTCAAGGATGTTCTTAATCTACAAGGCAAACTTCCCAAAACACACAAATACAATGATTCACCTATTAAATATGTATCCAACACAAAGTTAAGGAATCGAGTTGGAAGACAATACTGGAATTTACATGGAAACCCAAATCGGGAGAAAACCACGTGTGGATGAGGACCACTAAGAGAAATCCACTAGTGAAAGATGAAGATTATAATACTTTTAAATGAGTAAAATCACAACTATGGTGAGCGTGTGTATTTGGAAATTTATCTAAACATGTTCATCTCTTGGAAATTTATCCCCAGAGTTCCCTCTATTTTGAGAAAGCATTCAAAACTGAAAAATATAGTGTAAACGCAATGAATCTAAAAGTGTGTGTCCCACTTCAATGATCAATCTTCATTAAGCTCCATAACAATGACAGATCTGGATATTTCTTTAARAACATTCATATGAGATTTGAGAGAGAAAGTCAATCTTCAAATGCTCTGGTCAAACTCTCTTTACGTAATATGAATTTTTACAATAAGCTCTCTTACAAAGATTACAAAAGACATCACCCTATTTATAGGGTCAAACTTCCAAGCATAGTCAAAGTCAAACCTGTCTAAGAAAAGTCAAACACGATGACTTTTACAATTATAGACAATATTTAACTTTCAAGACGAATACAATTTAATACTGATTTTCAGTCATAACATTCTCCCCATTTGTATTCACACTTGAAAGAAATTTTGCGCTTTGAGTCCTGTTTGAACTTTGAAACTTTAAGCACATTATGTCATCTTCAAAAGAAATCTTCAACCAATCAACTGTTGAAAAAGATCTTCTAGCATTCTCCCCCTCGAATGTAGAACCGCGATGATCTTCTCTTTTGGCAATGTAGAACAGTAATCATCAGAAACAATGTACAAGATTTGATCTTCAAAGAATCTTCAGACAACAAATCTTCA